TCTCTACCTCTACCATGCACTTACCACAATTCTACCTATTCCTTCAAACCACTTCCAGCTCTCCTCTTTGCTGATCTTTCTCTGCTCATTCTTATTATACTTGCATGTACCATAACATTTGACTTTATCAGATATTGTCTTACAGATAATTTCATGATAGCTAATATCAAAAATAATAAAGATGAGCTCAAGTTTTATCCTACATGGGAAGTCATAATCTTCCTGAACACACAGACTGAAAAACATGGAAGAAAAGGAAAAATAGGAGATAACATGAAAGTTATTGTTTAAACTAAAGGTCCCAAATTATGTAATAACTATTAATTATTTTTTCATACTAGAGCCAAACACTAGTCTTTGTGTGTCACAGTGCCAAGTTCAGGAGACAATGTAAGAACCCTGCTTTAATTCTAGTGCCCAGAAGCTGCTTAAGAAAGCAGATTTCATAACCAGATATGAGTCTTTTTTTTTTTTTAAGATTTTATTTATTTATTCGACAGAGAGATCACAAGTAGATGGAGAGGCAGGCAGAGAGAGAGAGAGAGAGAGAGAGAGGGAAGCAGGCTCCCTGCTGAGCAGAGAGAGCCCGATGCGGGACTCGATCCCAGGACCCTGAGATCATGACCTGAGCCGAAGGCAGCGGCTTAACCCACTGAGCCACCCAGGCGCCCCATAACCAGATATGAGTCTTAAGTAGTCCCTAGTTTACAGAATACCTTTCAACTACAAATTTAATGTGTATTCATTCTCTTTCTAAATCTACCCAATATTCTAAATATAATAAATGTAACAAAATGCAACTTCAAATAAATTTGAAGACTAATTAGCAGTAATAAGAAAACTGTAAACAGGGTGCCTGGGTGGCTCAGTGGGTTAAGCCTCTGCCTTTGGCTCAGGTCATGATCTCAGGGTCCTGGGATCCAGCCCCACATCCGGCTCTCTACTCAGTGGGGAGCCTGTTTCCCCCCTCTCTCTGCCTGCCTCTCTGCCTATTTGTGATCTCTGTCAAATAAATAAATAAAATCTTAAAAAAGTGGAAGAAAACTGTAAACATATTAGTATAAAGAATATTACACATATAAAAATAATCAAGGCCTAAATGAAAACTCATTAAGCATTTATTAGATAAAGCCTGATTCTTAATTATTGTTGGACTTTATAGGAGAAATACTTTATCGAACTGAACAAGAAGAAAAACACTTTCCTTTTTTAGGTGGAGGGCAGGGAAGGATCAGAGGGAGAAAAAGAATCCCAAGCAGGATCCATACTCAATGCAGAGCCTGACACAGGGCCCAATCTCATGACCCTGAGATCATGATCTGAGCTGAAATCAAGAGTCATGAGCTTAATGGACTGAGCCACCCAGGTGCCTCAAGAAAAACTTTTTTACTACTCTGAATTATATAACAACCCATCTACCTCTTAACCATGACCATCAAATTTGCAAAATGTACAATCCTCTAAACAGATTATAGGACAATGAAAAATATACTAATTATGGCACGTGTAAGCCAAACTATGGACAGATGATTGCTGTGTTCATGTTTTTAAACCCATACTCTTCTCAAACACACATATTCAGGACTTAACGGAATTTATCTTTCTATAGACTCTATTACTGTAAGTACTCAAGTGTTTTACTGAATCTAACATTTTCCCTTCCTCATAAGTGCCCCCCCTTTGTCAATCAGAACTTATATTCTAACGTGAAAGCAACTGTTAGCAGGCAATCTGGAAAAGATAAATTTATTTTATATTTTTTAAAAGATCTTAACTATTTGAGAGAAAGAGAGAGTGAGCGTGAGAGACAGCATGAGTTGGGAGGACAGGGAGAAGCAGGCTCCTGTTGAGCAGGAAGCCTGAGGCAGGCTCTATCCCAGGACTCTGGGATCATGACCTGAGGCAAAGGCAGATGCTTAACTGACTGAGCCACTCTGGCACCCCAGTAAGTTTATTTAAGAATAAGGATTTAGGGGCGCCTGGGTGGCTCAGTGGGTTAAAGCCTCTGCCTTCGGCTCGGGTTGTGATCTCACGGTCCTGGGATCGAGCCCCGCATCGGACTCCCTGCTCGGCGGGGAGTCTGCTTCCTCCTCTTCTCTCTGCCTGCTTCTCTGCCTACTTGTGATCTCTCTGTCAAATAAATAAATAAAATCTTTAAAAAAAAAAAAAAAAGAATAAGGATTTAGTATGTCTGCTACATCTGTTCTATTTTCTCATTATTGTTCTAATAAAATAAAAGCTTTCACACGAAAACTATCATCTTAAAAAAAATAACATCACAATAGTAAGAAAAAAAAAACTAGTTCAGCTCTGAAGTGATTCCATAGTTTTAAAAAATGTACTGATTCAGAGAGTATCAAGCTGATACTTTCTGACCCTTGTCAAAATGTCAAGTTAAGATAGTTGGCTACAAAGTCAATCTGTAGTTTTATAAAAAGTATCAATCTGATACTTTCTAATCCTTGTCAAAATGTGTAAGTTAAGGTACTGTCTTACGGGGATAGAAAAAAAATATATGAGTTGAACTCAACATTCTGTCTTAAAAATGTGAAATCAGGGGCAGCTCAGTGGTTCAGTCAATTAAGTGTCTGACTCTTGATCTCAGCTCAGGTCTTGATCTCCAGATCCTGAGTTCATGTTGGGCTAG